GTGGGACGGGATCCATTGAAAGTGGACCTCATGCTGTTGGGAAATGAGCTTTACTTTTTGTAAGATCGAAAAACTGGTTTTATCTCCAATGAGGGCCCAATTTTTGAGGTGTTGAATTGAACTACGGCTGTCAGATAGTATCCAAGTATTTCCAAGGTGCCCTTCACTCAAGATTTTCTCTAGTCCCCTGTCGATTGCAATTAGTTCGCTTCGAAAGACGGAGCAAAAATCGGGGTTTCGTTGATGAAGAGTGTAGTTCTCTCGAGGTGTTTCAATAAATACCCCACTGCCAGTCTGTCTATCCATTTTACTGCCATCAGAGAATATTTTGATGTCGTTTGGAGGGATTTTATTGATGATTTCCAGGGACAATTGTCTGAGGAAGTCAGGCACACAGTCTTTCTTATCAAGCGTGGTAGGGAGGCTTTCATGGGAACTAACATTGGAAAGATCCAAGCAAGTACTGAGATTTCAATGAAGATAAAAAGGTTCAATATTTTCAGCGATTAACAGTTGTGATTTAACATGACTAAAAGGAATGTTTTTCTTTAGCCTTTGATTGCAGGTCCAATTATTTAGGTAAATAACAGTTAAATTGCCTTGGTCTAAGCTGGAAAGTTTATTGAAATATTTCACTAAATTAGCTTGCCTTCTAAAGTTAAGAGGTAGCAGATCTGCCTCGTAAAGGACAATCTCTGAAGGACAGCTACGTTTCAATCCAGTTATGATGCGAATGACGCTCAGTTGAACCTTTTCCAATTTGTTTAAGTTAGATTGAGAAGCACAGCAGTAGACAGGATTGCCATATTCTAGAATTGGTCTAACAAGAGCCTGATTGGAAGTCCTGAGTTAATTGTGTGTAATAATTATTAATGAATTTTTTGTTTAGCTATTTAAAATTGATATTTTTACCATGTGCAAATCTGTGGCTATAAAGCGTGGTAGGGAGGCGTGCTCAGGACTTTTATCTCAACACTTTTATCTTTTAATATTTAATAAAGGACTATTAAAACTAATATTATTAATTTCTTCATTGTTGCTTGGGTACATGAAGTCCAAGAATGGCTGCAATTGGTTACCTTTTCTAGTCTATCATGGGTGGTGCAATCGGATTACAGAACCCAGTCAATGGCATGAAAAAACAGTCCACATCATCATGGAGCCACCATTAAGAGTGCCTCCTTGACAGTTTATGTCCTTGGCTTGCTAGGCTCTGTTAAAACAAAAGGGAAACTTGTTTTTTTTTTTTTGGATTAGAGTTAAGGGTTGCTGGTATGAATATTAAATTCGTTTATATGCCAAAAAGGAGAACAAAGACTCTGAATGAAATATTTAAAGTTATGGATGAGATAAAAATATTTTTGATAAACTAATTATGTGACTCGGTGATCCCATATTTAATATAACCTAAAAATTAGAATAAGGTAATGGTGACTAGTATTTACTAGCATATATACACTGGTTCTTAAAGTAAAAATATTTTTTTAAGAAAATTTATAATGTTTGAAATGTTTAATCTCAAACTTAAGTCAGTATAAGTTATATTAAATTATAAGTCTGTTATAATTTAATATTGCCCAATCTATAGATTATTAGAATTCTGTTCCATCTTCTTCTCACTTCAATGTTCCAATGGTCTTGCACAATCTGACCTACAGTTTTTTTTTTAAATTTTTTTTTAGATGAAATATTTTCATAATTTTGCAGAATTTATTTGCTAGGATTTTCTTTTTCTTATTACTTATTATAACCAGATCACACACATAAGATCTGTTATGAGCAATAAATCTGGAAAAGATAAAGAATCTTGAATTAAATCTTGAGAATTTAAACAGACATATTAAACATATGTCTGTCTGCAAGTTAGTTATCCGGAGTTGTTAACTTTGTGTTTGTAAGAAAATTCTTTTTATTACTACCCTATAAATCAGCTTTTCTTACAACTTATATCTTTATTAAATATTTCAGTGAAATTTACTTAATTTTTGATAGATTATTGTCGGAGTTTTCATTTTAATATAAACTTAATTTGCATTCACTCTTCAATTTTCAAATTTATCTCATTTAATCTCTTAAAATCTTTATCTAATTCATGTGAAAATTTTCTTTCAAGTATGATGACCCACTAAATAATGTTTATAAAACAAGTGGTTTATATACAGAGCTGTTGATATAGAATAAAATTCTCATTTTGCAATGTTTATAAATTTTTCATTTAAAAGATATTTGGAAAGGAAAAATTTTCTTTATTAAAATAAATAACATTGTTATTGAAAAAAAAAACAGAAAGGAACATATTTTTTTAGGCAGATATTTTTAAAAAAAAAATATTTGCTTCTATTTTTTTTAATGATTACTTTAATATGTATGTCTTTTAAAGGCTCGAGTATGGCAGAGAGATTACAGAGACCGAAGAGTAATGCAGCCTGATGCGGCATATTATACAGAGGTATTTATTCCTTCAAACTATCGTTCATAACTTTTTATCTATTTTTTGTTGCTGAATTATTTCTACTTCTCAGATGACGCCACCACTGAGTATGCCTGACAACCCCATAAATGCAGTCACCACAAAATTTGTGCGTACATCAACTAACAAAATGAGATGTCCTATATTTTGTGTGGCAGTAAGTTATTTGCAATAAACTTTTGATATTGTAAGCGTAGTTTTAAGTAGGAAATATGTAATTTTATCAGGAATGCTAACTCTGCATTTCTCTTGTTTTCACAGATTTTAATTTAGAGTACGAAGTTTTCAGAAATCAAAATTGAGTACAAAATATCAGATTACAGAATAGTCTATGTGTTTTGTACTTTTTAAATTTCATATTTTCTGAAAACATTTTCTCACCTTGTGAAATTAAAGTTAATGTTTCTTATTTATTTGATTTTTTTTTTAGCTTTATTTAAATTTTACAAGTTTCTTTAGTTAATTTTTTTTAAAGAAGTTTCTTTATTTAAATCTTTAGAAACATTTCTTTATTTGATTCTTTAAAAAGGTTTCTTTTTGTGATTTTTGTATAACTTCCTTCTGCATTTATTACAGAGATAGATATCACTCAGTGGCATAGTTTTAATGTATGTTCGAGGGGTTCATCAGATATATCTATATTTCTCTCTATATTTATTCTAAACGTTTAAATTATAAAGAATGAAAACTTTTTTTATATCTACATCCTACTTACCATACAATTTTTTGTTAATCAACTAAAAACTTCGGAAACTAATAACTTCGGAGAGGGTTTTGTCCCCCACAACTATGCCACTGATATCACACAAGGAAAATTTAGTCAGACTAAATTTATTTTCAGGGAGGTGGTTCGTCCACGGATTCGCGGATTTCCGCTTTTTTTCAGATTTCTCCATTTTTCCTGCTAATTTCAGCGAAATTTTGTTTTGCACAAGTTAAAATCTTTTATGAGGAGTTTAATTTTCCTCGGAGTGAAAGTATTGAAGTCTTCATTCCTCCCTTTAAAGTTTTTCTAAAAATTATTTCCTTGGGATTAAACTGGCTGACCTTTATACAGGGATGAGATTTTTCTGCTTTTTAGTGGATCTTTGCTTTTATCGCTTTTGTCTCTGGAATTCCAGCCTTTTTATCAAAAACTCCGATTCTCTAAAAGTTTCCTTTTTTTTTTTTTTTTTTATAAATATCCCGCTTTTTTTAAAAGAATTCAGTCGTTGAAATAAAATAATAACATTTATTTACGGTTTTCAAACATAAACAGAAAATTCAAACTACGTCCTAGCTGCTAAGCCTTCCGCATTTTTACTTATTTTAGCTAATTTCTGCGCTTTTACAAACAGAAAATAACATTTTCCGTATTTTTATCCGTCCGCCACATAGCTCGTATTTTCGTAATTCAGACCTTGCTGCTTCTTGTCGTGAGCAAACGAGGATAAAAAATAGAGGTGTATTTGCAGTGAAAATATTTCCTCATTCAATTAATCTTGTAAATTTGTATTTATTGTGTCTAAACAATACAAACAAGCCTTTTAGAAATCCCAAATCCAGACTCTGCAAATATCTCGATTCTTATTCACGCGATTTTAATATTAATCATCGATTTTCGTATTTACCTGTTTTCAAAGTTGCGCATTTTAATTCTTATTTACACTATTTAAATATCGTACATTATGATTTTTATTTACGAGATTTAAAAATGCAATATCGCTTTTTGTATTTATGCATTTTTAAAATCTCGATTTTATTATCAAACATCGATTTTCGTATTTACCTGATTTAAAAGTTGAACGTTGTGATTCTTCTTATTCAGGCGATTTAAATATCGTACATTGCGATTCTTTTTTGGGAGATTTAAAAATCCAATGTTGCTATTTGTATTTACGCGCTTTTAAAACCTTATGTAGCCATTCGTATTCATGCGAGCTTAAAATCCAATGTCGTGATTCGTTTTTGCGTTTGTATACGTGCTTTAAAAAATCGTGATTCGTATTTACGTGATCTAATAATTACGCAGCATGATATGTATCTTCACATTTTTTTAATTCGATGTAGAGTTTCATATTCACGTGATTTAAAAACCTCATATCGGGATTCATATTCTTGCAATTTAAAATCATGCATGTGATTCATATTCTTGCAATTTAAAATTATGCATGTGATTCATATTCTTACAATTATAAAATTAATCGTCGGGATTTATAATCACATGGTTTACAAGTTTAAAAATCGCTCTTTTTTTGTCAAATTTGTGTGCGTGTGTGTGTACATATATATATATATAAATTATTCAGTCTTGGATTTCCTCTTTTTTACTTTCTGACTACTCTCATCCTGTATTTTGAATGATAATTTATCTGTAAATTTAGTCGTTATTCATCTTTCATTATGCGTATTTTGAACTAATGATTTCATACATTCATCAGTCTTAATACATTCATCATGATAATACATATATCAGTCTTAACTCATTTTTCTGACTAAATGTTTGAATGAGAGAAGCAAATTGCAAATATTTTGTTATTTTCATGGAAACTTATGTGATGATTATAGTAATTGATTAGAAATGAATGTAACTAATTACAGATTATAGTTAAGCGTTTATCAACTATTTGTAATCAAGTAATAAAATATTATCATAATTTCTCATTACAGGCAATAATTGCTTGTAATCATAACAAAAAGTCTTTACAGATAATAATGATTACAAGTAATTAAAATCTATAATTGCAAGTAATTGTGACTTCATGTTATCATAATTTGAGTTTAAGAGAAATCATAATTCTCAGTAATTATAAACTTATTATAACCAATTATGTAATAAATTATAAAATACAATTATTGCAATAATGTTATCTTAATTTCAAGTGGGTTTAATTAAATTTTAATCAGGATTGTTGGTAATTGATTACTTTTATACACAAGGCACATATACGCATATTAAAATGAATGCTATTGTTTGTTTTGCTAAATGGATACTTTTAAGGAGTATATGTTCAAACATAGTTATGTAAATACATTGTACACACAAATACCTATGCATATTATTATATGTATATACATAAATGGGCAATTCTATGATGACTGATGTTACATTTTGATATGTTATCTTATTTTTTAAATATTTTTCATTGATAAATTACATAGGAGGGACATTGAATAATACATCTTATTTTTATTTTGAAATACTTCTCCTTCCATATGCAATAATGGGACGGTTTTTTAAAATTTAATTAAGAAAAAGCTTTAAACTGACAAGAAACATTTTTTAAAAAAAGTGAAATGACAAATAGAAAGTGGCAAATAAAAAGAAAAGCCCTTGTGACTGATGTTGTAATTTTTATGTGACTGATGTTACAAATACAAAATATATTTATCTAAACTTTTTTTTAATCAATATTATAAAATATTTAAAAACTATAATTTTTGATTTTATATCTAAAACAGTCGATGAAAAAAAAGAAACTTATTAATGGAGGGAGGCTATTCTAAGTATACAATCTGTAAATATGTAGATATGTTGCACGGCATAGGTAAATGTACATGTGTGTGTAAGTATATTGTGACATCACTTGCTTTGTAACTACATGCTTGTAATAAAGAATTTCCTAAATTTTAGTGGACACCTGAAGGTAGAAGACTCGTGACTGGTGCATCTAGTGGTGAATTTACTTTATGGAATGGATTAACTTTTAATTTTGAAACTATTTTACAAGTAAAATAATAGTTGTTCTCTAATTCTTTTTGTGATATATCTCTCTTATCCATTTCTTCTCATAGTTATGTAAATACTATGTCTTCCTATGAGAAGAAATGATAATTTTAGTGATCATGTACTTAATGATCACTAGAATTAAAATTTAGTTTATCGTAAAATTTATATTCACGTATGATGCTTTTTATTTCTACATGCAATCATTGTTAAAGAGCCGTTCGTAATTGATATTTCACTTTTTTTATTAATACTTTCAACTCCCTCCTTCTCTTTGTCACAAAGTGCCACGTTTCACTACCCTTCTTTGTCACATTACTACATAATCACCTGGTATATTACAAAGATAAGCTAGCAGTTCAGAAATAAGACGTGTATAGATCATATTTCAATTATTTTTAAAATAGTTTTTAATCACGTTTGTGAGCATAACTATTGGAAGTGACAGCAAAAAAACTCATACAAAGTTACTGCCATCATAGAAGTTTCTTTTTAATTTGTGTGTTCATTTCTTTTTGCCTTTCACTTTAATTATGAAATATTTTTACATTATAGCTCTTAATTTATGTATTGTTCTTTTTGGCTTCATTACAATGTCAAGCAAAAGATCTTCTATTTTAGAGTTTTTTAAGCAGGGAGTGTCTCTGTTGATTACGAAAGTCTTAAGACAATTGCAGGATGAAAGGTAGAAGACCCAATGCTAAAAATTTCAATAAGCCTTTGTGCATTCCTGGAAAAAAAGGCAACCACTTTGTAACCAAAAAAATTTATTTATTAGTAAAAAGTCTACTCTTATTATTTATTTTACTTTTTTAGTGTATTTATTTTTAATGAAGTTATATTGAAAATTATTTGTCTGACTTTTTTGCCACACCCTGTATAATAATTGAATGTGTTTTAATTTTGTTGAAAACATATAAAAACAGTATTAAATCTGTTCATTTGAAATGTTTTTATTTCAACTGAAATGTTTTTTGTAACATCGTTACCCCTTCTCCCCCCTCTCCATAATTTTGGCTACCCCTCTTTTTCCCTCTAAGTGTGACATCATTTGTAGATAAAATAATGTTAAGGCTGAATTTTTATTTTGATCCATTTCTTTGTACATTCTATATTTTTTATTATTAATTGATATAAAATAAACAACGATTATATTTTTTTTATATAGTTGAAATGTTTGATGATTAATAGGAAGCTCATTTTACTTTTCTAATAAATTATATTGCCTATTTAAAGTACTCAGAGATGATTGTGCTCCAGAAAAAATTTGGATTTCCGGATTTTTCTCTAATTGCCATCCAGAAATCCAAGTTCCAGAAGTTTCAAGAAATCATTGATCAATCGCATTTATGTATAAAAATTCTTTTATATTTTATTTAAAAATATTAGAACTAGAATTTATAATTGGCATCTCTGTCATCTGTAAATATTTTTTATCTACTAGAATAATAAATTTGATTGGAGATAAAAGTAAACCTAGACATAGTTATTAATTTAAATCATGCTGCATGTGATTTATTTAGAATTTCATTGTTTTTAAAATATCAATGATTTAAATTTATGAAGACAATAAATTTTTGAAATGCGATTGATGAGTTCAGCTCACAATCACCCCTGAGTATACCTGATCTTTATAAAAACTGAAACAAAAGCAATAAATCCTTAATCATGCACAGAATTTTTAAAAAATATACTGCTACAATCAAAAACTGAAATAATTCTGATATTTTTATTTGTTACCTTTCCCAGTGACATTTTGTTATTAGGTTAAGCAAAACTCATTTTTCAAAATGAAGATTAACTGTCAGTATCACTGAAAATGGTGATCATGGCCATCTCAAGATTATCAGAATTTTTTTCAAGCAAGCAATTTGCTCCATTAATTTTGCACTTTTATACATAATTTTTTTTCAATTACAGTTGATTTTGAATGAATTATTCTTATAGAAACATGTTTCAAAAGCTTAACTGTAACAAAATAATAATAAATAAAAAAAAGTTGGTAGTTTTGAAATCTGTTATGTTTATCCCATGTAGATAATGCTTTTGTAACTTTAAAATCTTATTAGCCTCAACACATGAAGCTCATTACGAGCCTTCACTTGCAACACACTAATGCTTCTTGAGATTTTCAAGTCTCTCTTGTGATCGTATTGGTAGTCAAATATTTGTATCGGATTTTTATTGGCAACTGAAAATTTTTAATCCCCCTAATTGCTTGCAATAAAATGTGCCATAAAGCATTAATTATTAACATATTACTATGATACATTACATTGTGACATTTAATGTTTAATGACCATTATTACAGTACTATTAACTGTACATGATTTCTGATGCATCTTTATTAGAGTAAAAGTTAGACTGTGCAGAGTATGTGTGACCGCAGCAAATTTCATTATTCTTTGATCACTGCGTTTTCTTGCATTGGCCGTTTTTTATTTTTGAGATTTTTTCCCTTTTTTAATTATTGTTTTTCTTTGAAATTTTAAATGTTTTTTTTTAATTTTTTTAAAATTTTATTTAAATAGCATTTTGCTTGTCCTTATGAGTTAATTTTTTTCTTTGTAAATCAGTGTAAATTTTTCATTGAAACTTGTCATTTTCTATATTCTTCGATAACAAGTATTGATGTTTAATAGAGTTTTTCAAAATATCAGATTTTGCTTTTGAATAGACAATCTTTCAATTTTAAGAATATTAATAAACAATGATACTTGTATACATGGTTTGTATACAATGATACTAGTATACAATGATGATATAAGATAATACGATGCCATTCAATATTCTTGAAAATTGAAATGCAACTTAAAAATGCTTATTTATATGAACAAAATTCTTATTTATAATTAAAAAAAATAATAAATTTACATTTTATTTTATTCATAATTTCAATATTTAATTAACTATTTTAATCATTTTTTATTAAAATTGGAAATACGAGTTACGATTTATAATTAAATATGTGATTTACAGTAAAATTTTTAAGGGCATTATTTTGCTTTTTAATGTTATTTTAAAAGGCATTTTTTAAAAATTTTTAGGTCATCAATATCCTACTTGTTGCTGATTAGTTGCATGTAATTAATTTCTTGTAATTCTATTTAGGCTCACGATTCTCCTGTTCGATGTATGGTTTGGAGTCACAATGATCTTTGGATGGTAACTGGTGATCATGCGGGATATGTAAAATATTGGCAAAGCAATATGAACAATGTAAAAATGTTCCAAGCACATAAAGAACCCTTACGAGGAATCAGGTTCTTTTATTATTACTTTTTGAATTCTTTACTGTATTTATACATATTTGCTACTGATTACTTTTTATTCCAACTAGCTAAATAATTTAATGTTACTGAATATGAATGTAGAGTTCAAAACCTTTTTTTTAATTTTATGATTCAGTTATAGATTACAAACATCTTACAGTTCATTAACATCCACTTTTTCTATGTAATCATTTTTGTATTTTCAAGAATTGTAAGAATAAGCAAAACACCAATATCCCTTAGTCATTGTACAGTATAAGACCCCAAATCTGGCACTCTCGGGACCGACGAAATTCCGTATTTCGGATATCTTTCAGAAATTCCAATATGACTCCCATATATAACAGTAATTCAATTATAATGTTAATTTCAGAAAATTAATTAATTCCAATAAATTTAGTTAAATTTTGATTGTCCATTATGATGGGGTGAATTTAAAACTGCCCCATCTTAAGAAATTTCATTAATTAGAATAATTATCTATATAATAGAAATACTATATCTTTTTTGTACGATCAAATTTTTTTTATAATCTAACTAATAACGATTTAAAAAAACAAGCTGACAGCTAAATACGATTAAAAAAACAAGCTATCCATTAACAAAAAAAAAAAATTAACAGTGAATAAGTAATAAAAAATGCAAAAGAGTATAATTTACCTCAAATAAAAAAAGCCACAAAAGGGATAGAATTCATTATGTACCCCACTTAGTAGTTTTGAATGTCAAAAAGGTGTGGCTAATTTATGGTCAAACAGGAGAGGGTAATGTGGGGACAAACCAGTAGAGTGCTTGCACAGCTGTCAAGATTGATTAATCAGTTTCTTGTAACTTGCATTTCTTTATTTTGTTCATTGGAAATGCAGGTGTTCTTACTTTTCCCTTTCACTTTATTTTAAACTGCATTAGAAACAGATGTTTCCTTTGACACTGATTTATTATTTTTTTATGCTTTTTTTTATTTTTAAGAGATAAAATAAAGTTACTTACTTCAACAAAATAAAATTCCTAAATATAATAGATTTTTTTTCTTCTTATCAATAAAAATTTCCTTAAAAAACAACATTTAGATCAGATTAAGTGCTGAATTTCGGGATGCTGGGTTAGGGGTCCCATACTGTACTTTGAATACTTTTATTTATTATTTTTTATCTGAACAAGTAACAAATACTGCATATTGCTTATAGCATATGAAAAGTTAATGCTGAGTACAATATTATTTATTATTCTTGTTTCTTTTCTATTTTTGAAATTAAAAAAATTTAATTATGCATATTTTTTTATCATAAATTAATTATGTTATTTAATTATGTTTGTGTGTGACTTGAGAAATGAATTTCGAAAGATAGGTGAATTCTCTCCTATATTTTAAAATTTCTATTCTCTTTACCTGAAATAATTCCATAATAATTTTTCTTCTTGTAGCACTGATTCCAGCTAATAATTATTCAAACATTGAAATTTACTTATATATCTTTCTAATGTTAGTACTATCTGTGAATATTTAGTGAAAATGTTTAAATATTAAAATTTTTGCTTTAGGTAATTGTGTCACTAATAGTTATCTGTATCAATGAATTTGCTAGCAACAGTTTCAAAATTAAGACTTCTCGAGTGGTTCAGTTTTATGTATTTTTTTAAATGTTATGCGATATTTATTTTAAGTATATATTCTATCTGTATTTTTTTCAAGTTTAATAAACCATTTGCTTAGAATGTTTATAAAAAATACACTATTTATTTATTTTATGTGTATTTTAGTTTTTGTCCTGTTGATACCAAATTTGTCACTTGCTCTGATGATGGCACTATAAGGATTTGGGATTTTTTAAAATGCGTTGAAGAAAAAATTCTGAGAGGTATTAAGTCAGCTTAATTTTTTTCTTCTGTTTACTGTATGTTTATTTAATTTAAAAGCTTTAGAATGTTTCATCCTTCAAAAATAGAGGTTCACTTTTTCTCTCCAAAACAGTTTATAAATTTTTATTTTAATATGAAATTAATAAAAATTGCTTTTATCTAGGTAAGGATTGTCTAAAGTAGTTTTGAATTTAAATTTCCTTCATTCAAAATTACAATTAATTACATGTTATCGCAAATAGGAAAAACCTAATTTTTTTACTATGAATGAGCTAAATGAAGGAATATGTATTTTAAAAATACTCCAATTTTAAGGTATGTTATAATAGAATACTCCAATTTTAGGGTATGTTATAAGAGTTGTGCAGAATTTTCATTCTCTTTTCTTTCGTATTTTTCAGTGGAAAAGAATATTTTCATAGTTGGAATTTTTTTTTGCCGAAAAAATAAAAATTAAATAAACAAAGTGTAGAACTGTTGTATTAGAACACCTGTTGAAGTTCACCTGTATTTTTCACACCATAACAGAAACTACTAATTTTTATCTTGTTAAACAAAAATATTTTCCAATTTTTTTAATTATCTAGGTAAAACCAGTTTTCATCATCACATAATCATAAATATGCATTTTTGTCTCAAAAATTCATTTTTCAAGGTTTTTTAAAACATGGGGAAACATTTATCAAATTCATGATTTAAAATTAACTATTATTTGAATAAAAAATATATTTTTATATTTTAAATATATTTTTATTTACTAATCTTTATGTTGTTATTAATGCTGAAAAATTAATAGCTCGGAGTAAACAAAAATATATAAATTCAAGCTATAAATACTTTGCTATTTCGAAATATGAAAATAACAAGAAATATTGAGACAAAAGTTTACTTAAATTCAAAATTCTATTGACAAGCGACCAGATTTGATGTATTATTTATGGTCAACAAATTTTGAATTTTCAAATGGACATGAGAAAAATTACCCTCCTGTTCTGTAGCTTCCAACACTTTCTCTCTAATTAAAAGAAAAAGTTATGTAATAAATAAGATTGAGTGGTTTTTGTAGCTACTGCAATTAGTGTAAGGTCGTCAATAGCTTCAACTGTAATAAAGGGGTTATAAATAATGCTAGGCGACTTTATTTACAAACAAACAATTTTATTAAAGGATGTGGTGATGGATGGTTCATCACGCAGCAGTTACATACAACTACATCATCTACAACTACAATTTTTCCCCTTGCACATACGCCCTCTGGCGTTTGTTACCCTGATTTAACAACTCGCTTATTACAAATGTAATTAATTAGGATTACAACTATTTTTTTCTTAAATGTAGTGAATACGAACCACTTTCATAATAAAGTCACTTTTTATTTCCTTGTAGTGGGTGGATTTCGTTGGAGGATCCAATTTACACTTGTATTCAAAATTTTAAAAAATATTAAGATAGGAAAAAGCAAATTAGTAAAAATAGTGTTGAATAATAATTAACTTATTGGAACATGGGATTTTTTTAAAAAAAATATTTAATTCTTGGTTAGAGGTACAGTAGAGTCCCGATAATCCGAGCCCCGGTTATCCGAGTTTCCGCTTAAACCGAGCTATCAAATATTTATGGATTTTTTGGTTCTAGTTTATTTTTTATTTTTAAAAATACTGCCGAAAAAAAAATCTGAATTTTATCTTCCAAACACTCGGGAAAGCAAAACCTAACAACTTGATCCCATGAAATGATCGTTAATATTGTCAATAATGAAAATGAACCTAGCGAAGAAGATGAAGACAGTGACGATAAAAATCAACATATAAAAATCTCTCACACAGATGAACTTAAAGCTGTCATAAATGCTACTGAATACTTAGAACAACAAAAATAGGCGACGCCAGCCTTCCTGTTATCCCTAAAAAATGGCGAAACATTGCTGCAGAAAAGCGCCAAAGTTATGTAAAACAAAAGACGATTAAGGACTTTTTTTAAGTAAAAACTCTTTAATTCTTGCAAAGTAAGTAAGCTTTTTAATAATAATTAATGTAACTTAAATAATAATTTTTAATAATAATTAAATATATTACATTTATACCAACTCTTTTAAAATTCTTTTAAAATAATTTTTTTTCTTTTGTTTCCCCTTTTTTCATTGTTCTGTAATTTTTTCCTTGTTTTCTCTACATTTTGAACGCACACACACACATATATATATTTACTTAAGTTAAATTTGTACACAATTTTTTAGATTAAAAAGCATTCCATACTTTTGTTATACAGTAGAAGATTTTAACTACGCAAACCATGAAACAGGAAGTTTTGCTTGATATGAAATTTTTTGTTGCATAGATCATTTCCAAATTATTAAACTGGCGTAATAAACATGTTAGATCAATATTAATGCTTTAAATTGAATTTTGAACAAAAGTATTTAATATGAAAAGAAATTAAACCCAACAAATGTATTGATTTTGGTTTGCTTTAAAGATTGTAAAAGTAATTTTACAGTTATATTGGGTACAGTAGAAGTTCCACATAATTGCATTATGTGGAACTTCTACTGTACTAATTTTTTATGCAACTTACTTTTTATAAACATTTGAAAAAAATATGAAGCCATAAATGTACACAATTTTTTGAAGAATTAATTTTAGTGAAACATTTGTTCTACAGGTCATGGAGCCGATGTTAAATGTTGTGATTGGCATCCTCAGAAATCTCTCATAGTATCTGGGAGCAAAGATTCTCAGCAACCTATAAAACTTTGGGATCCCAAAAGTGGACAATCATTAGCTACAATGTAGGAAACATTTTCTTTTATTGTAACATAATTTTTTATTGCAAAGTTCGTGATTATTTTATAAAAATCGCCTATGTAGCATTCCTTACAGCGAGGAGAAAAATTGTATAATTGAATTTGTCTCTAATTCTATGTTTCTTTGAATCCCACAATTATTTTTGTATATCTGTATATTGCTACAGATATGGCGTAACTACTCCCACTTTCTTAGAAATTTTCGCAGTGAGATTTCCCACCTTGAATTGAAATCAAAATCATTTTGTACTTACTGTATTTTTGCTTTCATTAGTGTTACCATTGCATGTAATCTGTAATGAACAAGGTATCCACGCTCCTGGAAAGTCATGAATTTCAGTATTGAACAAAATTTGTCATGAAATGTCATGATTTTTACTATTTTTTAAAAACAATCATGGAAAGTCATGGATTTAGGTAGCCGAAAAATCGAATTTTTAAAATGGAATTTTGCCCCTCCCCCCCCATTTCATGGTGTTCCGAATGTCTGAATTTGTGTTACAAAATCCCCACTCACAGTCATATTTGATTAATATATAAAATGTTTTTATCGTGTTCTTTAAAAATTATGGTGTTCTTTCAAAAAATGAAAGAAAAGACATTTCTAGAGAGAATTATCTTTTAAACTTCTGTGATTTCAGAATTTTTGTTATCATTTATTTTTTTATTTTATCAATTTAAAATTCTAGCTGAAGCAAACCAGTCATTGGCGAATTTTTTTTATTCCGAAAAGAGAACAGAAAAATCTGGAGTATTTCCTCTCCTTTTCGATGAACAAGAAAAGTATCTTTAGAATATAATTCTGCAGAAAAAAGAAGAAGAAAATGATTTGCTTTTGTATNGCTATTTTATGGCTTCAACTCTTTCACTGTGTTTTTAAAATTTTAAATCTATAAATATGAAGATGCAGAGTATAACAGTTTTGGTTATACCTATCGTTTCAATGAATGTTATTATAATGCTTTTTTAAATTTATTGTGGTGTTTTTGTCGGAGAAAATAGCAACTTCATTAAGTCATGAAAAATTTTTGAAATCTAATTTATACGAATCTAATTGGAATTTGAAAATCTAAAATGTAACAGATACCCTGAATAAATTATTTAAGTTTTGTGAGATCAATATTATTTTTATGCTCTGATGCCCACTGTTGGAAAATTATTTTCCCAAATTTTTTTACCAAATTTTAATAAGTTTTTTGATGCAGATCTTCAACACCTTAAAGAGTTTTAAAATATCTTATAGTGTATTTAATATAAAACTTGGGTGCATTGCAGGGAAAACTGGAGATCAGTGGACTTCACATATTTCACCACCAATGGACAATTACAGTCAAATTTTTTTTAAATTTTAATGCATTCAGAATCTCTTAAAACTCCCAGAAAACATTTTATTACTTTTCTAAGAAGGCTATTTATTTAGTTATTTTCAATCAAAAAACGCTTACTTTCGTTTTCACCTGAAACGGGGAGTCACGTGATTATTCACGAACTGACGTCACACATGTCCATCTGCCGTTCACTTACAATAACCATGCTATGAAAACCAATACATTCTTGCTTTCGTTTAAATTTTCTAATTAAATCCAACCATTTTAGATGGCCTAAAGCTATCTGTATAAAAAATTGCGCCTTAATATAGCTTAATAAAAATGTGGATTTGATATAACGTATTTTTATTATGTTAAATTTCAGTGGTACCCACTGAAACATTGTTAATACTTGACGAAATTTTCTAGCTCGGAATATTTAAAATTTTTTAGTTCAATAAAAAAAGTGCATGGTATTGCTTATAAATGATACGTTATAAATACAAAATAACTTCGTTTTTTTCATTTTTTAACTGTAATCTTAATTTTAATGTAAACTTCAAGTTCATTTGGAATATTTTATTTTCATCTTAAGTGAAAGAAACGTTGGATCAATTTCTCATGTAGAATAAATAGTTTTAGATTTTAAAATGTAGGACAGCTTAAGTTATTGATAATTTTTATCTATTTATTCTAGCATGAATTCAAAGCATGAAATTGTCTTCATAGCAGTAGCCTCTTAAAAAACTTGTGATCCTAGCAAAACTTTAAATTAATATATATATATATTCCTGCTGATTTTATTAACTTTACTTTCATTACCTTAATCTATGTTATAAGAGTATTTGAAATCAAGCATATGCATTTATTTAGTTCTTTATTGCAGAAACAGGAATAAAATTTTATAAATGCATATAAAAATAATTTTTCGCTATAGCAAAGTTCCTATTTACTCAAAGAATAAAAATATTGAGAAAAAATATCAACATTACTGTTTATTTTTTAATTATTTAATAAATAATAAAGAATGTGCATTAGAATTTCTTTCCATTTTGTGTAAGTTAATTTTTTATTTTTGTTCTCTAGCTTTAGTGAAACAAAANAATAATATAGAAATCATGCAACAAATAAAATGGTATGAATTCTTACAAAAAAAAATCCAACTGTAACACATAATGCAGTTCTTATTGGAGCAGGAAAGCATTAGTCTGCTTAGGGGAAAATATTTAACATTTTTATTATAACCTATTAATATTTATTACTTTAAGAGTTTATCTTAAGCATTTGTGAAGCAAAAACACAAATAACACTTACTCAATAAGTTTTTGGCAATTCATGTAAAACATTTAAGGCTATTTTGGCGCTCCCAAAGAGATATATTCATTAAACTGAAGTTTTGTATTATATATACACTTGGTTGAAGGACACTTTCTCACATATTGATTATTCGAATTTTTAATTATCAATCTTTCTTCATATTAACCTACTGTACATAAAACAAATGGCAATGGCTTGAAGACTATTTTTTTTAAAAAAAAAATAGGAGTTAAAAGTTATTTAGTAGTAATTTATTAAGAGAAAAAAAATTATACATTGAATTTGTTAGGTTATTTTTTTACTTTCTTTTAATTTATTAAAAACTTTTTGGATGAAACTTCTAATAATTTAATGAGTTTTTATTACTGATTTTAAATTTATAAATCTTGTTGTTTTTATTTTTAGAAATAAAGTTAAAACAAAATTTATTTTTGTCATTTGGATTTGGACATAAGTCAATCAACCTTGTTTATACAAAAAAATTTGAAAGGTTTGCGCATTTTATTCATTTTTTTTTAAATCATTTAGCACTTTGTTTTATTAGAGAGTATAATAATTTTTTTTAAAAAGTATTCTTTTCATATTATTTGTTAATTAGCTAAATATATTATCGAATATCACAATTTTTTTATTTTTAAGAAATTAAATCTTATTTTGTTTTTCGTTCATAATTCGGTCATTATATAATTTAATTTAAATTATTTATCTGAAATGATAATGTCCCGCAGTGGACTTATCGTTAAGACACAGTACGGTTCCTTGCAGATCACCGAAGTCAAGCATCACTGGCTGCGGTGAGTGTGCGGATGAGTGACCACTTGGATCAGTCTGCGTAGGGACCGAGGGTGTACGGTATTGTTCCTCGTTAAACTGTTCTACCTTAAAGTGCTGGACTTTGCGTGCAGGTCGCCAAGCTACCGAAGCGGGAGTGCCATCCCATCTGCAGAGGATCAAAATCGTGATGGCATATGTCTTCGGCTCATCCTCAGGGATGTTTCTCAGACCGTTGCCAATAGCCCAATATGCAGCTCTAGTGTGACGTAAATGAACTATAATAGAACTATAATAACTGAAATGATAATAATAAAAATTAGTGTTTTAAAAGCGTTTTTTTTTCTTTTTTTTTCTGAAATTTATTTAGCACTTTGTTTTAAACATATAAATAATTTTTAACGTTTCATTTAGAAATTGAACATTGCGATCGAACTTACTAATTATGTAATTATTTATGCATAATAGTACAAGAAAATATTAATTTGTAAAAAATACTTTAAAAAAAGTTTTTAACACTTTGTTTGACGCGAATTATGAATTTCTAAACAAACATTTCAATAAATATTTTAAGTAAGCTTTGTAATTTGTAGTCAATTTATTTAATGTCTCTCTTAAGCAAAACATGTATATCTTCAAATTTATAAATTGATTTAAATCAATCTGAGTATGAAGTTTTGATAGAAATCTGACTTTCTGTGCCTTAGTAGTAAATGAAGTTCTAAAATACTATATCGTGATACATCGCTATATCGCGATGTAAAACTGATGATGCATCACGATAGATAATTTCTAATATCGCCCAGTCCTAGATGTGGATAAATGAGAAATTAAGTGAAATTTTAAGTATAACTAGATTATGGTGATAATGATGGTCAGATATATTTCAATGGTCTAGATTCTTGAAAGTGTTGATACGTTTTCGGCTATACCGTATGCATAACCTGAGATTTTTTTAAAACTATTTTATTATTTTTTTTAAATTAAAAATGTATAATGTATTAATTTTACTATTTTAGAATTCTTCATTGCAAGCACTGACAAATGGCTTGCAAAAATAAGGAGAGAAATTAACAATAACCATACTTTATTAATACTATATTGCAGAAAAAGGAATTAAAATTTATAAATTTAAAAATATAACGGAATTCCTATTTAAGCTAGGAATAATAAATCTAAGCGTTAATGTGTATTTAAGTATTTAATACATAGTGAAACAAAAAAAAGATGACATAAACTGCATTAGTAAATATTTACTTAAAAAGAAAATCTTTCAACTCTAGTAATAAATAAATAAATTGAAGAAGCAACATTAAATTACCTTAATTGAATTTTTGATCATTAGCACATAGATTGTAACGATGATGGACTGATATTTTTCAATGGACTAGATTTAGGAAAATACTGATTTGTTTTAATGCAATACTGAATTATAAAATCATTCATCCTATATCAAAATGTATCAAATTTCTATCCAATCTGTGACTTATTTTAATTAAGTAATTAGGTTGTAATGAAGCATTATTTTAATTTAAAAGTAAGTGAAATAAAATAGTATTTTCTATGAACTTTAACACCACTGATTTCAGCCAAAAAGAAATGTTGATTCGCTGTAAAGAGCTACATAATCATTTCTTCAGATATTTTAATGATAAATAACAACGTTTAAATTTTTAAAATCTTTCTTTCATTTTGCACACACTCTCAGAACTGTAAATTTAATTCACAAAATTTTTATACATCATATACGATATACATCATATCAAAACAAAAAGAGCATTGAAATAGCCTTAGCGGATGGAGACGGCACGTTTCCCTTCTGCACATCTGACGTCATAACCAATCAGGGGTCGTTTTTGATTGCATCACTTACGGAGGCCTTTTAGGGCAATTTAAATGTTTAATAACTAAATAAGTTAACATTTGCCGAAAAAAACAATCAGATTTTCGGTTTCAGGGAAGAATTTCCAATAAGTTAGGTATGAAAATAAGAAAATTTATGATATGCTGTAATTGTCCATTGGTCAAGCAAAAAACTGCTTGCTGACAAACATATTTTGCCTTTTTAAATTTAAGATGGAACATATATTAATTTGTAACAATAAAAAACAAAGTCTTTTTTCAGTCGAAAATTCAAAGAAAAAAATCTGAAAATTTTATTCATTGAATAAAACATGTTATTTCAACTATATTTGTTCTTGTAATTTGATTTAACATAATTCCGACTAACCTTTTATTCACATCCCTGTCCTATTTAATTTAAGAAACATATTAGATCTGATCCATTTCCCAATTGATTTTTAACACCTATTTTATTACTTTTATTTATTCCTAGCTATTGTTTTTTTTTTTTTTTTTTTTTTTTTTTTTTTTTTTTTTTTTTTTTTTTTGAGTTTCTACTAATATTCATTTTAAAGTTTATTTAAATGACATATTTTGCTATTCAAACAGGGTCCTTCATTCTGGGAAAATGAACTCTACTATTCTGTAATATTTTTGGCATACCTCCTAGCCTGCTCTTTCATACATTATTTTATAAAAATCTATATTCTACTAAGATGTCATTTTTGTGTGGACCCCCCAAATTTCTGATTTATTTAATTTTTATACTTCTCTTAAGATGCCCATCAAATACCTCTCAATAATTATCCCTCCTCCTACCCCTGTGGTAGAATCACAACGACATTGTTGCAGGACATTATAAAGTTCTTGCAGAAAGATTTTTCGAAGATTGAGAAATTTTAGTTTTCTTTTCTACAGAAACCTACGTGTAATATTTGAATCATGCATTTAGATAATCACCTTTTGACTCGCTCAATTTACACCTATGGTATCGTAAATCGACGTAACGTTTTGATCGTATTTTCGGCAGTAAATACTATACTACTTAACTACTTAATATAAACTACTTAACAAAACATTTAGTTTTTGTCACTTTTTCTGACACAAAAATGCCAATCTAAAATGGCACTTTCTTGAAATTTGAATTCACAGTTATTCTAATTGAACTCACTATGCAACCGCCTTCGCAGAAATATGCAACTGATCGAATGCAATATGTTGAACAAGCATGACATCGTCATTTCTGAACCATATGAAGCAATAAATTGTTCTACCGGTCAAGTGACCAGTTGTAGTAGAAATAGGTATACGACGCATATTTTTCGAAACAAACAAAGTACACACAAAATAATAATATAATATTAGCTGAATATTATGTTAGAAAAAGTCATGAAGTTAAATGAGCAAAAACGATAAGATGATAAACGCATGCAAAAGTTCTTAAACATGGTATGTTTGGTTCAATGTTTTGTTGACTATATTGAATGCCTTTTCTTTTTCACTAGTCATGCTCACAAAAACACTGTTATGGATGCCAAATGGAACAAGAATGGGAATTGGCTATTAACAGCCTCTCGAGACCACTTGATCAAACTGTTCGACATAAGGAATATGAGCCAAGAAATGCAAACATTTCGAGGACACAAAAAAGAAGCTACTAGTAAGTAAACTATTGTTTTTTTGTTTTTTTTTACGATTTAAGTATGTAAAAATTCCATGGTGAAATTTGTTTTTGTTTTTTAAAGTGTGGATTTTATGAATTTTTATTACTAATAATGTATTCTAATTATGCAGAGTGTCTAAAAGATATAGAAAACAGTCCTTGGGTCTTAAAAATCTTATATTGGGATCTCCATTTTTTATGACAGATTTAGTTTCTCTTGAAAAAATATCCAAAATGGCTGGTTGTTTTGAAACAGGTTACACCATTCACCGTGCTGATTTATGTGTCATTTACCTACCCACGTTTGCCTCTCCTTGTAATGCAAATGTGAGTTAGTTTCATTGAAAAAATTCTCCAAAGAGTAGCCTGGCCCATTGCTTCATCTTGGAGTTTTCTGTTGCTACGTTGATAATTGTGAACCAACAAATTAACTGGCTCTATGAAATAAAATGTAGGACTTTACAGTGATAAAAAAATCAAAACTGTAATCTCAAAATAAAAAATGAGATAAAAATTTTTAAAAATGGAAGTATGTCAAGAAAAATTGAAAAGAAAAACAGACATAATTAGAAAAATTAACTTACAGCTTATTAACTTATAAAATTAACTTGAGTCAAAAATCTGAAATCTTTTCAAAGAATGCATTAACACCTTACTATGGGAATTATCCAGGGTTTGAAAAAACCCGGGGATTTTTGAAAAAACCCAACCCGCCTGGGTTTTATTTAAAAAACCTGGGGAAAATTGGGTTTTATTTGAAAAAACCCGGGGAAAATTGGGTTTTTTCATTTAGTGCTCATAAATTTTACTGTGAAAATATTTTTATTTATTAAATAGTGTTGTATAAGTAAACACTAAAATTTCATCTGACTTTTACCTGTAATAAAATTAAACTGGAATAAATATTTAATGGTCTTCAATGTTTTTATAATACGATTAATAGAAAGTGAAATTAAAATTATGTATAATTATAAAGAGTATCAGTTACTTGTCCCTTTTTTCAAATATTTAGATAAATATATGCATTTTAACTTTATAGTTTCAAAAAACAAATTAATCTTAAAATTATAAAAAAGCATATATAAAAAGTTATAGCTCATTTTTTTAAAATCAGATAATAAAACTTTAAATTTGTTTATTGTTGTTTAATGTATCACTTAATAAATTTTTTTTTGTTTGCTTTCAATATTTTTAAACATGATTAAAAGAAACAAAATAAATTGTATTCAAATGAAATCTTAAAAATATTTAAAAAATCTTAAAAGTAATATTTTAATTTTTAACTGTTTTTTAATTGTGATAAACTTTCTCCAAATAGTTAAAAATTGTCAGCAGATGTTAAGAGTTAACTTTAAAAAAAAGGTCAATTTTTTCCTTTATTATTATTATCATACAACAGATTCAAAGTGTCTACATTTCTCTCTTAGATGGCAATACACTTTTACGAGTTTTGTAGCTTTATCTATTCCTAATCTATTTCGAAGTTTACTCTGCACCAAACCGAAAGTTGAAAAGTGTCTTTCGATAGAGACAGAGGATGCTGGTGCTGAGTGCAAAGAAAAAAGAATTGACAGAAATTTTGTGGAAGCTAGGAATTTTATTTATTTACTTATTTTTTTTTTTTTTTTGCCATAATTTTCCACTATTTTTTGATGAAAACTGTTCAATAACAGTGTCAAGCATCATTGATTTTGGAAAGTATTCAGGATCGGAAATTTTGGATGCCATAACACGTGGCAGAAATTCTGGATGATGCTTAGAAAGACAGCTTTCTGCTAATTGGTCTTGTTCATCATTTAAAAATTGTCCCCTTGTTTCGGGATCCAGGATGCATATGCTGATAAATGATGTGGCTGAACAGCCTGATCTTTTAACAAAATGTTTATGGGATTCTAATTCATCACACGATAGTAAGTTAATTCATATTTCAACAGGTTCTGAAATTGAAATGTTTTCTGGTTGAAGCTTTTTTAAAGCTTCAGAAACAATTGATATCTGTTTTTCCCAATTGATAGTTTATTGGTAAAGCCCAACATTATTTAATTTTTTTGACATATAAAATTGTTCAAGAACAATCTCTTCATATTTATGGTAATTATTGGCAAAAGTTTTTACGCGCTCACAATATGAATTCCACCTAGTATCATTTGGTCATCAAGCAGTTTTTTTCATTTGCCCATCCATGTGCTTGATGCACATTTCTAAAATATTTGTTAACTTCAACGATATGTCCAATGATAGTATTAGGAGATACTTCTTTTTGAACCAAATTTTAAAAAAAAAACAATTTGTGAAAAAAACCACCAAGTGGGTTTTTTCAAAGTGGGCCCACTTGGGGAACCCTGGTTATATGTATTTTATATTAAGTTTAAATAACGCATTATCACTAATACATATTTGAATCTTCTTTATTTTTAAGTACATTACGTTTCATAATTTTTTAACTCAAGAATTATAAAATATAAATGCAGTAATATAAAAGGAACAAGTTTATTAATCTTTTTGTTTTCACACACATTTATTTACTATATTTATTAAACATATGGATATTACCCATTATAAAATTATAATCTGTAAATATTTATAATCAGTAAAAACTAAAATTTCATCTGACTTGAGTTAAATAAAAAACTGAAATAAATATTTAATGGTCTTACATGTTTCTATAATAAGATTAATAGAAAGTGAAATTAAAACTACGTATAATTATAAAGAGTATCAGTTACTTGTCCCATTTGTTTTCAAATAATTAACCCTAGGAAAAGGATTTCATTTTTAGATAAATAATTTTAAAAAGTTCTCCTATAAAAAGTTTTAGCTTTTTTTTTTTTAAAGCTAGAAAATAAAACTGTTTAAATTTGTTAATGTATCACTTGGTAAAAAAAGAAAAAAATTGTTTCTTTTAAATTTTTTTTAATATATTATATTATTATATTACCTGTATGTATTATATTACCTGTTTATTAATATATAAAGCATGCAACTATAGTTGAAAAATTGATCTTTTCAGACTATATTATTTAAATTTTTATTTGATTTAATATCATTAAAATATTACTTTTTTGAAAAAACCCACTTGAAGTTTTCAATAGCACCTACTATAAAAATTATATGAATATTTGAGTTTCTTTTACTTTACTAATATTAAAAACTTAATCATATAAATCATGCAACTCTATTTGACAAATTTATGCTGCACAATAAATTATATAAAAGTAAATGCAAAACAATAAATTTTAGTAAAAAAAAAAATTTTTTTTTTTTTGAAAAAACCCACTTATTGTTCCAAGTGGGCTTTTTCAAGGTGGGTCCACTTGGCGAACCCTGGAATTATCCCACTTACGACAGTGGGAGCTTAATTTGGTGTTATTAGTATTTCTCAAAGTATTTGACAATTTCTATTCTTTTTGGACACTCTGTATACATATTTGTAAAGTTCAAGATTTAGTAATTTAATGGCAATAAAGTTTTTAGAAACTAATTAGTCTCTGTTTTTAATTTTTAGCTTTAGCTTGGCATCCTATCCATGAAGGTTTATTTACTAGTGGTGGTTCTGATGGTTGTGTTATGTTTTGGGTTGTGGGGTAAGTTTTCTTTTTTAGGTTTAAAACGAGTGTGCTCTTTTTGAGGTGCAATTCACAGATTGGTATGAAATTAAAGCTACAAACTAGAGGAGGTATCTTGGAAGTGTAATTTGCAAAGGAGAAATTCATGAAGATATATTAAGGGGTCACAGTACCCCAAAAATGACCAAAACGTCGGGGGGGGGATTTATTGCTTTTAGTAAAACTTCAAATTATTTCAAATGCACTGAAAAAAAATCATCTCTATTTACATTTTTAGAAAAGTTACGAATGATTTTAGATTGCCCTAATACATGAACTTGCTCAGCAGACAGACTTTAAAGTGCTTTTTCTCATAGATGATAATTTTGTGTTTTAATCTTACTTAAATCCATAAGGAATTTTTTCTATTCAAGATAAAGTTTTGAAGTAAACATTTTTATCTTAAGTATAATACACTTATTTAATCTGTGCATGGAATAAGGTTTTTTATGAGATAATAAAATTTTTACAGCATGTTTTATATACCTAACAGGAATTTTTAACCTTTTTTGCTACTTTTTTTACAAAATAATCTATAAAAAATATTCTAATTGTTATTTCAACAAATGAATGCACAAAATTGTTAAGATGAATATTGTAATCACTAAGAAAAAAACATTTTTTGAAAAAATGTTAAAATAAAAAAGCCTTAGGGATATAAAAATTTTGAATTTTTTAAATTTTTTTTTTTTAAATTTTAAAAAAAGTAAGAAGTTTAATTATTTTTTGAAGAGCAGCACTTTACTCTGCATTATTTCCTTGCAACAGAAATGCCAATTATTGTCTTGAAAACACCAGATCAATGAATGAACTTTTATATCAATAAAAATTACCCTTATTGATATAATTATGTGTAAAAACAAGTTTACCATTTATGAATGACATAACTGTTGTAAATAAATAACCAATTATGTTTTTCTTTTCTTTTTAAGTTTGCATTTAATTTTATGTCCTAAAAATTAGTTTACAGGGTTGCCACTCCACAGGGAAAACCTAGAAAATACAGGGAATTTAAAAATAACAGGGAAAATTCAGGGAATTTTGATTTTTTCTTTACCAACTGGGAAATACAGGGAATTTTGTTTCTTTTTTTTTCTTTTAATGGTAAAAAATGGTGACCACTCAAAGCATAATCTATGGGATATTTCAGCTATACTAAACTATTTAATTTGCATTATTTAAGTATGTTCAGCTGTTTTTCAGCAATTAAAGCTTATAAATATAGTAAGCCCACACAAGAGCACAGTGATTCTTGTTTTCTATTGTGTATAACAGGGAAAACACAAGGAATTTTTCTAGATTTGAACTCTGGTTTACTTAAAAAAAAAAAACTGAGATATTTGTTTGTTTTTCCTAAATGACATTTTTTTAAAACTCTCAAACTAAATAATTGATAGTATCATCTTTAGTGCACTTTGACTGTAACAAATAAGTAGATTCAAATGTACTCACAAATATTTTGAATCTACTTATTTATTTTGTTTAAATTTTTTATTTTGATATTTTTTCATGATTGCTTATGAGACCTTTTCCGTATTTGGTGCGGAGGTTTTTCCAGTCGCAGGAGGAGGTTTGTTTTCTTCATTACTATGTCTAGAGAAAAAATTCAAGGCCTCCCAAAAGTGTTCGTAAATAGAGGAGGTCGCAACACATAGGTGGTCTTTTCTGGAGGTTTCACTGTATTATTTGCTTTTATGAAATTTATATAAAAAAAAAAATTTTAAGTTTTCTCTGTGATATTAAAGCTAAATTCGGAAGGAAAAAAATTTCTTGATTCCTCGCAGAATGCTTCTAAAGCAAAAGTAAATGTTGTGGAGGCTCTGATTTTGATTTCTACAGCGTTGGACTACTAAAACGCATTACAAGTGGGTTTAATAAAACTTCTTGGTGTTAATTACTCCTTGGTAACTAATGGGAATAAAATTGCATGCCTGAATAGTTTTTGAATTCGATGTTGCATATATTGTCTGCATTGCTTTTCAATTCCATCTTATTGAATGCTTGTTCCCTATGATAGTGATGGAAACAGTTAAAGATGATATACCTACAACTGATCAAGAGTTTGTAGGCGTGTAATGTTTGCGAATGTAAACTATAAATCAAATTTGCAAACGTTAGTAAGTTTTAAGAGGGATATTGTTATAATTGTATATAAAAAAAATACTTGTAGAGATAATGCTATTTTTCTCATAATAGTGTCGATTTTTGAAAAATATAATTAAGTTTTTTCACCCGGATTTTACATTATACCGCTTCGTGTGTTTTTAATGCTAGTCCAACAGAAACCATAAAATTGAGGTTCCACTGTTCTCTTATAATGATAATATTTAATGGTATTAAAAGAGTACACTAAAGGATTTAGTTTCTCTTAATTCAAGAATCCGGAGTATGTCTGATTAGTTTTAAAACTATGAATCGTTTCATTAGTTTTCAAACTTACGAAGATGTAAAGTGATGCATTTTTTTGCCTGCAATTATTTCCCTCTTTTTTTCATTTGTGTATTTTAGAATTTTTTTTTTTTTTTTAACAAAATTCAAATTATTTATGAATGTTAAATAATTCTTTCCATTTTGTTTTATTAGGGCAGATAAAGAGGTTGGATGTATGGAACAAGCTCATGATTCATGTGTCTGGTCACTTGCCTGGCATCCTTTAGGTCATATTTTATGTTCTGGTTCAAATGATCATTCTAGGTAAGTAATTTTTTAATAATATATTTTTAAATCTCACCATTTTTATTGAAAAATTCTCATTTCCTTAGGAGTGCAAATTTAGCAATATACAGGGTATCCGCGCACCTGGAAAGTCATGAAAAATTATGGAAAGTCATGAATTTCATTACTGAACAAAAATTTGTCATGAAATGTCATGATTTTAACTTTTTTTTTTTTAAAAAAAATCATGGAAAGTCATGGATTTAAGTCACTGAAATATCATGGAAATAGGTCACCAAATTTTCAAAATTAATTTTACCCCTCCTAATTTCATGACCTTCCGAATATCTGAATTCGTAACAAATTCCCCACTAACAGTCATGTTTTATTAAAATATAAATTTTTTTATCATGTTCTTTAAAAATGATGGTGTTCTTTCAAAAAATGAACGAAAAAACATTATTTCTAGAGTGAATTATCTTTTAAACTTCTGTGATTTCAGAATTTTTATTATTATTTTTTTTTCTTTTATTAATTTAAAATTCTAGCTGAGGCAAGCCAGCCATTGGCGAATTTTTTTAATTCAAAAATGGGAGCAGAAAAGTCAGGAGTATTTCTTTTCTTTCTGATGAACAATAAAAGTACATATCTTTAGATTATAATTCTGCAGAAAAAAGAAAAAAAATTATTTGCTTTTGTATTTTTTTCAGCTATTTTATTGTTTCAACTCCTCTCTTTTTTGAATTTAAAATCTATAAATATGAAGATTCAGAGTACAACTGTTTTGGTTATACCTTTCATTTCAATTAATGTTATAATGCTTTTTAAATTTATTATTCTGTTCCGGTCGGGTGAAACTAGTAACTTCGTTAGTTATGAAAAGTTCTTGGAACGAGTCCTGAAAAGTCATGAATTTGAAAATCTAAAATGTCGCAGATACCTTGAATACATAATTATATATATACAGTATGGGACCCCTAATCCAGCATTCCGAAATCTGTCTGGACCCGAAATTCAACGCTTAATCCAATCTAGGTTTTTTTTTTCTTAAATCTTTATTAATAAGAGAAAAAAAATCAGTTATATTCTCTTTTTATTTTAAATTTTATTCTGTTGAAGTAAGTAAGTTTAGTTTGTCTCTTAAAAATTTATAAAAAAAGCGTGATAAAAAATAACAAATCTGCATCAAACAAAACATCTGTTCCTAAAGCAGTTTAATGTAAAGTGAAAGGGAGAATAAAAACACCTGTATATCCAAAGAAATGCAAGTTAGAAGAAACTGATCAATCAAACTTGACAGCTGTGCAAGTACACTTCTGGTTTGTCCCCAAATTTGGCTCTCCTGTTTGACCATAAATGGACCACACTCAGTTGACATTGAAACTACTATGTGGGATACAAAATGAATTCTTTCCGTTTGCTTGTTTTTTTTATCATTATTAGTTGTTAGCTTGTTTTTTTTTTTTTTTTTTTTTTTTTTTTTTTTTTTTTTTTTTTTTTTTTTTTTTTTTT